AAAGAAAATACAAGGAAAAGAAAAGGATTAGACGGATTAAATTGCGGTACAGGAGTACGCGGCCGGATCGGAATAAACTTAGTTAGATTTAACCGGAAGTAAACAAAACTGACGCTGGGTCACAGAATATAGGACGGTAATACAGGATACGCTTTACGCGCAAACGGATATAATTTGAGGCTAATACTAAACGCTTGGTAACGCTGGAACAATCGGAAAAGGACGCTAATTACGGGATCCTCAGGTATTCTGGAAGGAAGAAAAACGACGGTATTAACACTACGGAGCTTACGGCTATGGTTAATTTATAATTCGTCTCCCACCCAAATATTCCCCCCTGTGTTCTACACCGGTCGGGGGTCAGGAAACAGGATAGGTTCAGGTCAGGAACACGCCCGAGCAGCGCCTCGTTAAGCGTGTATTCTCAGTAGCATATGTACACCGGGCAGCACCCCGTTACTGTGTACGCTACTGCGGACGGATAGGAGACCGGTAGGGGATCAGTAGCTTGCGTACATCGGGCAGCACCCCGTTCTCGTACACTACTGCGGGAGGGGGCCGGGGCACACGACGGAGCAGCGCCTCCACCTGTCGTGTACTCCGGAGTGGTATATCGCCGGACGGCAGTACCCGTTATACCGGCGTATACCGCAGCGGAAGTACCCGCTGCCGGGTGTCGTCGCTCGGTGCTCCGAGGAAAGACTGGACAATCGCGCTTGCTCCGGAGGGGCTTTTATACCCCTGGAGCCTGGGCGCGCGGGTGGAGGTGGCGGGGGTAGGCGCGGCGTTGCCACCTCCGCGTTGTTATGGTAACCGCGGCTCTGGTATGCGTGGAATGCGAGGATTGCGGCTACTTCCGGCCGCGCCTTCCCGGCTACCCCCGTTACAATTCGATAGCTCTTTCAAAAATAGGAAATGCCTATTTTTCCGTTTTCCGATCTACCCACAATTTCTCGGGATATTCAACCGTTCCAGGACTTTTAGACCGTCCTGTATAAATCGCTGTAGTCGCCTAAGGTTTGGATGGAGAACCGCTGCCAGACGTTCTCGGCGCGCACGTAATCGCTCTCGGATACGGTGACTCCGGTCAAAGAACTGAAAAATGACTCGCGCGGAGGTAGACGCGCGTCCTGCAACTTGTCCACGCAATCCACATATTCATAGGGAAATATACCTTTTCGTGTCAATAGATCGAAATCGTCGCTGGATAATGTTGAAAATTCAGATCGTACAATTTTTAATTTATCTCTATGGAGAAACGATGCTAATCTATCGAAGCTGGTACTCAGAAATTTGTATGAGTCAATAAATCGCAGCTTTATGCAATTTTGCCGCTTTGAGTTTTCTATGGTACTTTTTACATTTTTTGTAAAGGAAATGTATGTCTCCTTCGTTATCGGTAATACATCAACTGTGCCCTCGAACGCGGTAGCGATTTCTTTAATCATGAAATGTGCGTCCTAGCCGGATAAATTATGAAAAACGATTGGAATGAAATATGCATCTTTGTAATTTAAGTTACAATTTGAATGTGCGGGACCTCTATATCGCCCAGTTAGATGGCAATGGTCGCGCACTCGAGTGTCGTCTGGCGCGAACGGTTTCTCGCATATGTGGCAGTGTGTGGTGCTATTAAATTTCTCATACTGTTCTTTCGAAAGTGTTTGCATGGGAACATTACTCGACAGAATATTCTTTACGCGATGTGCTAATTCTTCTAGTTGGTCAGCGAACCATGCGATGCAATCCTTGTCACGACGAAACCGATACGTTGATAGCGAGTCGTCATATGAGCAGTGCAGGTAATAAGCGATGCTAAATACTTCATGGTGCTGATATGCTTTCGGATCCGTATCCATCTTTTTCAGGATACACTCTAGGTCGGTGTAGATGACAAACGGTACACGTTCCTTCCTACTGTGATTGTTAAAACTGAGCCACTTGTCCTCCTCGCTGGGTAATATGATCACGCAGTCATTTATCTGTTGACAGTCCACGTTGTGGGCTTGCAACTTGACGTTGGAGCTAAAGTAGTGCAAACATCTGGAAAGAAAAAATTTTTTTAATACATATTTTTTTTCAAATAAAGCAAGTTTTACAAATCTTGTCGATACTCACCGATCGCAAATGTATTTCTTCTCCTTGTGTTTACTGAGCTGAGAACTAACGAGGCGGGATAAATTCTTTATCCAGACGAAGTGGCCCACTTCGGCAACCCCCTGATCTTGCAGGTATAATAGGTTCACGTGCTGCTCCTTCTTCTCGTCAGCGACTCGTAGTGGTACGAATGCGCGTTCGCAATTGTTCTTTTCATCGATGCTGTACATATTGATGGAAATACTGTTCAACCGTTCAAACTTTTTAATACCACTTAATGTCATCGGCATTGGAACGTCTCGCAGGTTTAACACATCACTGTAATGTGGATACGACGATTCGCGCCCCACGTTTCTTTCAGCCGGATAGAGAGCGGCGACCACCGACCACGCGAAACACGCATTGTCCATGGATTGTACGTTGATCACTGCTTTCTTTCGTTTCACCACTTCTGGCACGTCTATATGGCATCCCGCGCGCATAGGATTGCATTTGTTCACGTTAATAGTCAAGTTGAGTATACGCGACAGCGCCCACCCACTATCACGCTCCTGAAACTCTTCGAGTTCGACTAGAGTCGGACCGATTACGCGCGACTCGTACCACAGTTGTAGGTCCGTTGTAATAAACAGTTTACAGTTTTTTGTGTTTATGCTTTTATTTGCACGTTTGTCACCCGCCACAAACTCTCCGTTGAACGCGGTATTCACCTTTACACAATTATAGCGTTCGATAGCGTCTCGCACGTGCTCGATCACGATATCGCGAGCGTCCTCGAGAAACTTGCGCGGTTCAATGTACTCCGCGTTAATTACCGCCCCGGTAAGCACGCGGTTTTCGAACGCGGTGTCGATCTCGCGCCACGACAGTTGTGCTCTCGAAGTTCCAACACCACCACCCCCGAAATGTACGAATCGCCTTTCAACTCGGCACTTGACACTCTCGAGTCGCGCGATTCGAGCCACCAGCGATTGTCTGCTACCGATGGATAGCCTTGGACGCTTGACATGGCTGTGTTCCTCTAGCTCAGCGATACACTCGTGGCATTGTTGCAGCCACCCCAAATAATCACCTAATGTGGTGATCCCGTCGGCTCGTTCCACCAGATCTTGCTCTCGTTGTACCATGTTGTCGCGCTAGCGTCTTTTCAGACTTTAAACTGTCCACAATGTTTTTCTTCTCGATCTCGTATAAAATCTCCTACTGTAATGTGGCAGGCTTCCGGACCGATTATATATCATAAGAAAGTCACTGTTAGCAGCCAGGTTTCGGCGCTTGACCCCGTGACTCATAACATGGAAAATAAGAATACGCGCAGCTGTGTCGACGCTAATCAAAGGCATCTCCGATGATATCTATTACATGTCAATGCAGTAGATGCGAGTTTAAACATGGAACTTCCAGGTATCACGTGTCTAGAAAAAAAGACTTTGTTAGCAGCCAGGTTTCGGCGCTTGATCGTACCACGGAAAATAATACGTGTAGCTGTGGTATCGGTGATAATCAAAGGCATCCTCGGTGATATCTATTACATGCTGACGCAGTAGGTGTGAGTTTAAACGCGGAACGTCCCTGATATCACGCACCTAGACAAGAAAGTCGCTGTCAGCAGCCAGGTTTAGGCGCTTGACCTCATGACTCATGCCATGGATGCGCGCAGCTGTGTGTCTGCACTAATCATTTGTATATCGTCATCCCCCGGTGATATCTATTACATGCATGTGTCGCGGATTACTTCGCGCCGCGGACCTCTCCGCGCCGCGGATCGCGTAGCGCCGCGGTCCTCCCCGCGCCACCGCGGATCGCATAGCGTCGCGGTCCTCCCCCTCCCCGCGCGAATCGCCGCAGAATATCTCCTTCCCCCCGCGCCCCGCGGATCGCCAAGCGTCGTGGAATAATAAACGCGGAACTCCTCCACATCGTTCACCTTGATAAGAAAGTCATCAGCCAGGTTTCGGCGCTTGACCCCGCGACTCATACCCGTCCAGGTGTTCGCGCTAAAAATGACAGGTCAGCACCTAGATATCTGTTACATGTCACGTAGTGACAGGTCAGCACCTTGCGTGACGTCAAGGTCGCGTACTCCCCCTCCTCCCCGCGGTCCCCTCGCCCCGGAGTACCCCCTCCCCGCTGTCCCCTCCCCCCTCGGAGCCCCTGAGCTAGAATCCCCCTATATACCCTACTTTCCTTTGTTCAAAATCAAAATTTTTAATGACAAAATAATCTTTATTATGTTTTTATTGTTGTAATTGATAAATAAGATGTTTTTCAGAATTATTTGTTTACTTTAAGGTTATTTAAATCATCGCGGACACCAATGCCCCATGAGTCCCGTTACTGGAGGTCGAAAAACAGAGTCCCGTTGCAGGGTTAAATAAATCGTTGACAGGTTTTTAAAGTTGAAACTTCAAGCTTTAAAATGCTTTTTTAGTTTTGAGTCTACGATGATTTTTCGCTGAGTTTCGATGGTTTGAAAATAGCCCAATTTTTAGGGTATGAAAAGTGTTCCCTATTTTTTTTTAGTAGTGTATGTTTGTTTCAATCATGTAATATCTAATTATATCTCTCAAAATACAATTAGATATTTCATGATTGAAACATGTATAACTAGATTTTTAATTTTTTCCCAGGTTTGCTACAGTTTCGGTCGGTAATCCATATTTCATGGTAAAAGACTGGTTTACTAAATAAAACTCATCCTGTACATGGTATCTGACACAAAAGGACCTCTACAAAAAATGGTGGTAGATTGGATCAGACTAAGATGAAAAGTCACGTACCATTTTATAAAATTTGTAATAGTATCGAATAATTGATTAAAACATCTTGCGAGTGAGCGCGTAGAGAGTGGTAGGCCGGGCTCACAAAAGGCATGCAAGGGGCAAACGCGAGCGACACAGGACGCTGAACACATTGTTCGCTATTTTTCCGGCGCGGAGTTACGTGACATGCCTTCCGAGCCCGGCCTACCGCTCTCTATGTGCTCATTCGCTCAGACGTTTCAATAAATTATTCGATAATTATTGCGAATGTGTAAAATGGTACACGACTTTTCTTCTTAGTTCAACTTCAGATGATAATCTTGATATTTTATATTTTCTCCGTGAACCATCTTCGAAAATTTGTCGCCTCTTGCTTGCCTTTCTTAAGACATGCAACCTTAAAATATTATATAATAGCGTCCAAGCACGTGCGCGCTTATCTAACATATCTCCATCTACGTTTCTTCCTCCACATTTCTTTTCTTCTATTTTCCTCGTTCTCACGCTCATGTATGCTTATATGCATGTATGGTTTCCGTATTCCTAAGTCCATCCAAGATTTTTGATTAATGTACATTCTCTTTTATTTGCGTTTGTTCCTGGCTGTATTGTTCTTCAAAAGACGGTGAAGAAAGACAGGTGTAATATAAATAAGAAAAAAAGAAGAAGCTCATTCTAGTTGCGAAAGGGATCAGTCGATTTATATCATGTAATATTATCTCTACGTCTTTATAACATAATTATATAGAATATCAAGTACATGTTATATTTTTAAATCAATTAATTAATTTTAATTAAACTGTGGAATATAATTTTCTAGTTTTATCAATCTTCACATTCTTCACATTCATCAATAAAAATTATCTGTATTTGTCTTATTGTTAGAAAGATATTAGGTGATAATATCATACGCATATATGTGATAAACTAGTAATGTTGATAATAATATCTAAACCTTACCACCACTATTAATAGATTCTGACTTGTCTAAGGTCTGGATCTCCATTTTACGATGTAACTTCGTTGTAGTAGTTGACGTAGTAGTAAATGTTCCTGCATGACAAATATAACACATCTATTAGATCAGTAATAATCTTATACAAATGCGTAATAAAGATAACAAAATAGAGTATAATAGACGAACATCTTTACTCTTCTTAGAGGAAGTAGAAACGTAAGATCGCACACTTATATTTATCCTTATATCTAACAAAAAATTTCTTTAATCTATTTACAAATTTCGCCACTTGAATAGAAAGGCCCAAGTGCATTTAAATATCTTGTATCCATATGTTCTTTCCTCTCTTATACATACTTTAGAAGCACTCATACGCGTGCGCATGTGCACACACACACACACACACACACACACACACACACACACACACACACACACACACACACACACACGCACACACACACACACGCACGCACGCACGCACGCACGCACGCACGCACGCGCGCACGCACGCACGCGCGCGCGCACACGCACGCACACACACACACACGCGCGCGCGCGCATTTCTTTCCTGGCAGAATTTTCTTTTTGGCACCAGTATAATAATAAATGATGATAACGATAATAATAATAGCAACAACCATAA